GCGACCAATAGCGGAGTGTGGAAGGGCAACTATAAGAATAGAGTGAGCAGGTAGTGATTATTTATTTCCTAGACATACTTTGCTGGTTTACAACAGCATGTAGCTCAGGGATGTACTGAGCCAGATGCAGTGTCTTGTAACAAGACAGAACATGGAACTGCACATACCAAATGGGCACTAAAAGAGTGAGCCAGGAATTTTAAAAGAATCTGCATTAGCAACTGGAATTTTATACAAACTCTTAACTCCCTCAAATGGAACTAAAGGTAAACAATCTTCTTGTTCTGAATCTTTGACCTGTCACAGTTCTTCTGTGCATATATTATCTCTTAGCTGCTTTTTAAAAACCCTCAGAGATAATGAATTTTTAATCAATATCCTAGAGGAAATAATGCTAATAATGCTCCTGTCGTAATGCTGAAATGCTACACGCTGTCCAAACCATATTATCTAAAAAGAAAAATAACACTCACAATGACATATACCACAACCTTCAGTCCTGTAATTCTGAGACTGAAACTTCACAGATCCCAGATTTCATCGCAGATTGCATAGTGCTCAATTGCTATGATTTCAAAATAGAACTTGCTTGAAACTGTTTTTTTAAGCAGACACCTTAGTGCATAACCAGTGAGTTGAACCCATAGTGACAAAATTAATTACTTTGGCAATTGAAAGACAAAAACTGATTTTGTTTCCTAGAGAAATGACATGTGCTGGAAATCTGGGATTAACTCAATCCTGTAATCCATATGAAAAGTCTTCCAACACTTCCCCATGGAGAATCAGCCATTTAGAGGATTATTATAAATTGGTCTTCCTGGCAGCTGTCTGTCTTTTAACATGTTACCAACTTGGTTTTAGATTTGTGTGTATATAGTTGTTGGGTTGTTTTTTTCTTCTGGGCTCAATACTATATTGCTTCACACAACCTCATACCTACATTTTAAAGAGGGAACTGAATAACAACAGCTGAAATAATAACACACATTTCAATTTGTCTTTGCTTTCATGTTGTTGATATTCTTGCTTCTGGTTTATCTTTTGTTTTGTTTTTGTTTTGTATCTTCATCTTTCCTTTAAAGAAACAGATTTTTTAAGTGCACATATTTAAGGTGTCCCCTCATATCAACCTATTTCCTGAGGTAAGTTCTCCACTGATTTGCCAATGGGCAGTTGTGCACTAAGAGAGTTTCACAAGTCTAATTAAGTAGTCATAGGCCTTATGACTACTTATTCCATGGCCAATACCCTCTCCCTACTTACCCAAAAGAGAAGAAAACGCCCCTGTGGGGAATACAGGTCTGAATTTCTCCTGTGGACATGGCCTTGCTCTCTCCCCTTGTGGCTGCCTGCCCTTTTCAATCTGACGCCGAGAGCTTAGGCATGACATCTCTAACATCTTTCTGTCTTGTCACAGGGCTTTTTAATTGAGTTGACTTGGTTTTGATTTGTCATTACCTCTCACCCTGGCCGCATTTCTTGCCAACTTACCTTTCTGGGTGACTACTGTACACAAGTAGATGACATGCCTGCTTCTATGCAATTTAAAGCTGGATAAGTGTACACTTCTATATTTGTAACACAAAATAAAGAGACACTAATGGTGGCTAGTTGTTTCCCTCTCTGCTAAGTACTCTTTGCACACAGCTAAGAGGACACTCTCTGTTGCCGAGATGTGTTGCCAGTCCTGGAGAGTTGACTGTTTTGTTCCCTGCTGCCACACAAAACTGCCCTGTGGAACACTTACCTGCTCTGAGGCTGCCAAGTGCCTTTCAATGCATAATCTTTTTTATATACTGTAGGCTATGAATTGAGATTTTGTGAGACAGGGCTTACCTTGAAGGAAGCTGTCAAACTTTATGTGTATCAGGTTCTAAAGCAAATAATGGGTTTTGTAACCAAGCTCTGACACTAGCTTTTAGATGTCTTACAGTAGATTTTGTTTTAGGAAATATTAGATGCTAAAGACTAAAAGCACAAGAAATACCCAAAGAAATAGTTTTTGTCCCTTCCCTAAGGAAATTCTTGAAGAAAAGATGTGTCCTGTGACCACACCACAGTAGGTGTCTTTTTTTCCTCCAGTCTCATTTATTTAGTAGCATACACACTTCAGAGTAACAAACACTCAACCAATACAGTCAATGTCAGAAGTGACCATGGTCAGCATTGCATTGTAGTGTTCAGAACAGATGCACTGTGGATGATACAGGCCATTTGATCGCGGTACCTTAAGAATAACAAATAATAGCAACAGCAACACAAAAAAAAATAGCAAGAGCCCTCTGAAATACTTAAGGGTTTGGTCCAACTCCCATTGTTTTTCCCTATAATAGGAACTGGATCAAATGTTAAGTGAATTCCCCCCTGGGTAAAATTAAGAGGGATTTAATTTTTACCACTTTGGTTAAATTTAATCCTGATTTATATCCTTATGGGAACCCTGCACCCATTGTTTTTTTAAACTTAGCTGATTTATCTCTTTGTGCATTTCTTTCTATATTGCACTTTCCTCCAAAGAATCTCAGAGCATCTTGCAAGCAGTAATGAAGGACAGCCTCACACCACTCCTGTGAGGTAAGTGGGTACTATTCCCATCTGTAAAATGGGAACAAAACTGAGGCCTAGGATAGTTGTCCAGGGCCAAAAAAAAGAAGTCACTGACAAAGCTGAGGGAGAGAAGTCCTGCTGATAGATTCACACACAAATGCAGCAGCTACAGCAGTGAGCAGTGCTGCATCCAACTAGTGAGTTTAATGACCTTGGTGCCCAAGTGAGAGGTTAGCTGTTCAGCACCAAAGCGCCTCTGGGCCCGCATAACTTACCATGTTGTGGAAACGCGTGCCCTTGCTGTCTCTGGAGCGAGGCAATAGCTCAGCAGAGGCATTAAAGAACTACATTCTGGACTTGTATGTAAACAAGTACCTTAGATATCATGCATCAGCTCTTCTATGTTACATGCCTGAGCAAAGGCATCATGTTGACCCTCTGGTAAATATAAGCTTATTCAAGGCAACTTACTCCATCATGAAAGAAGTCCTTTTTCCTTTTTGTATAACAGCAGCAGAAGATTGTGTCTTCTTCCCTTCTAACCCCTTGGCAAGCCAAAGGACCATTTCAAAACTAACTTGCTAGAACTATTTATCATCTAGAGTGAGTTTCCAGACCAGGGTCTGCTCTAGCAGAGGTGGTTTTTTTCCCCTTGACCTTCTCAGCTACTGCAGAGGAATTGGATCATGCTCCAAGTTTTCCCCCAAGAGCATGTACTGCAAACCAGCCAGGTGGTAGCTGGTACCACATTGCTTCTAGTTCTCCTTTAGAACTGGACAGTCATTCTAAAAGTTTGTCTCAAACTCTTAACTGACAATTTGAGCATCAACTTTTACCCTCTAAATCTCCCCTCTAGAAAATAAGTTCCATTGGAGCAAAAGATTCACATAGCTGGTAACAGAAGAAAGAAGTTTAACTGAAGATAAATCAGGCAAACCACTAATGAATTCTATCACCTTAACAGTCTCAGTTCTAACATTTCTAATTTTTTTTTTTTAATTATGGTACGACTACTTGCAATTGCAGTCTCATAGAAAAGGTATTGTTAGTAAAGTTCTTTGTGAGACATATTTACTTCCTAGTCTCCTTAAGCACTACAAACAGATGGCTTATCTGGTAGCTGCAGGAAAGGAAGATGACTTTTTTTTTTAAAAAAGTTGTTTGATATTCACCATAGATTAATTTGTCATAGCAGTTCAGAAGTTAGGAGGCATCTGGAATGATATCTGTGCTCTCTCTTGAAGGCTTACTGTCACTTAAAAAAAAAAAAAAGTGTAAACCCTCCGAAACATTTAAGTGTAAAATTCATTAATACAGAGTAATGAAAAAAAAAAGAGAGGGACCCTGGGAGGCCACAGAAGTAGTCTGAATTTGCAGTGAACTGCAAAAAATAATTACCAGTTTTGAACAACTTCTGGTTTAGAATTAAATGTTTCCACGTGTCATTAGTTCCTACAGAGCACCCACTCTATGTCATCAAACTTTTACGTCACAACTGAGCTTGAATTTTTAATAATACTGCTGTTTTGTTTAGAGGCGATAAAAAAGTAGTTAAACCTGACTGATGTCTTAGTACAGTAGTGTGTTATCTAAAGTTAACTCCTTTGAGAAATTCTTTTAGGCTCTTCGATTCTAAGTACAAATGTTATGCATAGATTTAATTCCAGATCAGGATTCTACAGCCTTTTTTTTGCTCATGCTAATGATAATTATTGAAGTAGCAGTTTCCCAAAGCATGGAGTCACCTTCATATATCCTAAAGTTCTCAAAAATCTCTCCTGAGCACAGGACACCAGCAAAAGACAGCAATTTCTGATCAATCTGCATTACTAGCTTTAAATGTTGAACAGGGATTAACAATCAAATAGTAATATAAGCCTATTCCTCATTTTGAAAACTGCATCATTGCATTATTAATGTTAAAACCTGGAATGTAAGTGAACATGTGAATACTGATAATATTTATACTGCTAGTATTTAAAGAACTGTTCAAGTGACTAGAGGCAACCAACAAAGAGTAGGTATGTGAACCCATCACAAGAAATCACGTCAGTCTTTCTGGATTTTAACCGAAAAACTGAACTTTCTGTGGCTGTGCCTGGGCCACAGCAAAAGAAGAATGAATGACAGATGGCCCTGTAATTCCAGATGGGGACTAGGGGATGTGATATATTGACAAACCTTCCCCCAACCACCCCGAGTTAAAAGCTGATACCTGGGAGGAAGGAAGCCTGGGAATTACCTCATCATTAGTGTAAGGCTGTGAACGCAGAGACATTACCTTCCTGATCGCTGTGCCCATCTATGCACTTCAGAGGCAGCATCATCTTTGGGAACAGGAACATGTCCAAGAAGTCACATGCATTAGAAGACAGTCAAACCATGATCTAAAGAGATCACATGGGTTGCTGGCTACTAGTGCGTGTGTGTGTGTGCACATATGTAGGCGTTTTAGCTTTAAAAAATAAACAAGCCTTGGAAAAAACCCTTAGTTCCCTGGTCTGTGTGTGAAAGCGTCCTTGCTGATTTCCAGAACGGCAGTTCAGCTGCAAGAGGCCAAATTTGCCAAGCTAGGCACTTTTCCAACAGCCCCCCACTCTGAAAGTCAAATGTTTTTGGAGACAATAGGCTGCTATTCTCTCCCTAGAATATTTGTAATCTCCTGAGAGGCTACATAAAAAGCAAAGGCTGTTCTTGGATAGAAGTCAATCAAGGCTAGGGCAGGGAAAAGGAGGAATGGTCAACAGTAGTTACCACATCCAGCCACCACAAACTGCTGTCTGCCTTCGCTCCAGGTTTCTTGTGATTATCACCCATTTCCACCTTGTCCACCCTGTAACACAATGCAGCAGAAGTTGCTGGTCCAACCTATAGCGTACGCAGGAGCAAGAAGACTCGGAATTAGGACAGAAAAAAAACACAAACCACCACCCCAACGCTCTTGCTAGTTTCAAAACAATGCAGTACCCTGAAAATTTGTTATTCCTGAATCCCCACGAGCTTGCTCTGGTTCACTAAGAGGTAATCTAGAGTCCCATCTGTTTGCCGGAAATCAGAATCATTCTGGTTTACCATACAGACCTCTTGACTCATGCTGGTGTGATTCCTGAGTATGGAGATCTCCATCTTCTGAGGCCCAGTCTGAGGTTAGGCTGGTGCAATACAAACCAATCTAGAGTTACTTAGCTTCACAGAGGGCCGATACAAAGTCATTTTGATCACAGACTGCTGGGTTCTGGATACAGCTCCCTCTGCCCTGATGACCTCAAGAGTTTGGAGGGAGTTAAAGGTTTCTTTCTGAGTGATCCCAGCAGAGCAGGAAGTTACAGAGCAGCCCTGTTAAGTTTTGTGCCATTCTCAATTCATCTTTCCGTGATGCTTTCCAAAATGCCAATCAAATTGTCCAACCCCAACAAGTACCCATCCTCCCTGTTGCCTTCTTGCCAGGGGATCCTGTGGTCCAGTGTCTGCCCATCGGGGAGAAGGGTGGTCTTTCCAAAATCAATCAGCCACACGTTGGCATTCCCACTGCCATCATGTACAAAAAGTAGTGAACTTCCAACGACCTGGAAGACAGATTGAGATGATGTGGTTAAAAACACACCTTCAGCTTGCCCTCATTCATCACTTAAATGGTTCTCACTAAGACGATGACCTCCTCAGATGACCCTTTCACCTGTGACCCAACAAACTTTTGGGCTGCACTTAATATACACTGACAATTTACATGACCCATTTGTATAACCATATAAATCAGTAACATATAAATGGGCATATAGATGGGACAAGGGACCCAGTAGGCAAAGGAAGAAAAGCAATTCTCCAGCTCACTTGGCAGCAGGTCTCAATTACAGCAATTCAGCAAAAGCCAGTAACTACTTTCTTTGAAAGACCATGAGCTATGATTAACAAAAAAATGCCTCTAGTTACAAGCTGAAATCCATAAGGTAAAATAAAATGTTTGATCTCAAAGTCTTGAGCTATAACAGGCAGAACTTACAGTGCTAATGAGGCCTTCTCCACAGCAAAGCATACAAGGAGAACATATAGACCAAAATTATACAGTGTTTCAACAGAAATCCTGTGTAACTACAAAAGCTTTCATTGTCAAACTACAACTGAATGCTACTCTACCAAACACAAGCTTCCACATTACCGTTCCCCTGTATAGATTCCCACTGGAACACACCAAGATTAGAGAAACAACAGGAAACTGGTACTAATAAACCATTCCCTGCAGTGGCCCAGAGCTGTAAGTGCTGGGTCGTTATAAAGATGGGAGGATTTATTATTCCTCAGCTGGTTTAATCTTCTGTATCATTGCGATGGAGGCTTTGTGGTATCTGTGTTGTTAACATACATTAGGGTTTTTTCTACTACAAACTTCCCTCTACCAATACAGCAGGCTATTCTGAAGTACATCTCAATGACCCAAGGAAGCAGTAATGCACCTCCACAGCATTACATTCACTGCTTACCTCGTGTCGCTTGAAGAAGTCTGAGGATTCAAGAATGATATGAATTTCCTGCAGACGCTTGAGGTATTTTTTCTGGAGGAAGAGGGAAAAAAAAAACAAACCAACCCATATGCATTTAGGTAAAAAATGAATTAAGATACTCTGTTTACAGGAGTTAATATAATGAAGAGATCACATTCATTTTAGGCTAGAGGTCCTTCAAAACAACAGGTTCGTCATTTGAAACTCAATTTGAAAATACACTTCAACAGGCTTTCATAGTGAATGAACAGACTGGAGTTCCTCTACCGCATGTGTTACACCAAGCATAATTATCTGTCTTGCTTTGGATGCAGTGAGACATTCTGCATCCCCCTTTCTGTTTTGTCTTTTTAATGACAAGAGAAAAGTTTCAAGCAATTAAAAATTTCAGTTCTCCACAGTGAAAAGAGAATTAAATTGTGTTAGAGAGACAAGGAGCTCCAACCATGTTAGGTGGGAGAAACTTAAAAACAAAAAAAAACCACACACCACGGTGCATAAAGCTCTAGTATACATTTTTAATGCTGCCCTGTGTTACCAAGCATGCTCCTCCTGAGGGGCTAATCTGCCTTCATAATGGCTTCTGCACTAGAGCAAAACGCTATGGCATCCTTTGAAGTTCCAAAGACAAGAGACATGTTATACCATCTACCATGGGCCTGCTGTGCTGCCCGTGAAGCAGCACACCAGAATTATTCTTTGAGGCAAGTCTCGCACACAGGAGCACAGCCAGCCTCCAGTCTCACTTCCTGCCCCCCATGCTCTGGTTTTAGCCTCTCCAGACTGAATTCCCAAATCACGAGTTTTCCTGCCAACACAATCCTTGCTTAGACATCATCATCCCTCTGATATATCTTAACACCCATGTTTGAAGCTGATGGCAAGCCATAAGTTAGCTTGACTTGACATTTTGCTAGCATGAGGAACTTGCGGTGAACTCATGGCAAGAGCTGACAGAACTGGTCTCAGCCAACTACTTCTCACAGCCCACGAAGTCCCCATGTCCATTCCATCCGCTATGAGGGACTGGAAGTCCAAACCATTTTCTTCCTTGGTAGTTTAATTCATTTCTCTTGTACCAGAGGAAGCATGGCCTGAAGCACATTCATTGGGTCAAAGATCAGTGAACCTGAAGAGTTCAGACTCACCAGAATAGTTGTGTTGCCCTCAATGAATTCCACAAAAACCTGTAGAACTTGCTCCTGTGTCTTCGTAGTTTTGAAGTTTGTGTTACATGTTCCATCCGCCTTCTGCACAAAAATTCACAAAGAGAGAGACGATTCATACTACACACATATTCTTCCCCTCATCAGTCAATCCTCTTGAACCATCAACAGCTCAGCTCTTGCTAACCAGATGAAAGTGAGTAGTTGAACAGGAAGACAGCAGATAAACCAAGCAAGAAGTAGAGAAGATACAAAAGTTGATTGGATCACTTTAAATGGCACTTCATTTCCTCTTGAGTGCAGTTAAATAAAAACAACACATGATATTGCCAGCTTGCAGGAGGGTTTTCTCACGTCAATAGCAGCAGTGCAAAGTTCAGTGGGGCAAACCACAGTGACCTCTTTGGTTGTCTCTCGTCTAGCTTGGTGCAGAAAAGGGGACATTTTCAAACCCAATTTTAGTCCTTTTTTGTTGTTGGTGGTTTTGTTTTTCAATGGGGAAATCAAAGAATTGCAGTTAAGACTCAGTTCCCAACACACCTTTGCACATTAATGTGACCCAGAGGTCACAGAACAGAAAACTAGTTGGAGACAATAACAACTCTGGATTTGCAATACTAGCAGTGACACAAATGCTAGCAGTGACAAAGCATGAGTGTGAATTTTGGCAAAGGACAGTATAGGCATGCTTGTATCCAATGGGATCCTGGAGAAATTCAGGGTATTGGTACCGCTCAGTACACAAGCATCCTGCTACTAAAAACCCAAGCTTTTTTATGTGCTGGTAGTGACCAGTTCATGCTTGTGGGGCTACAAGTAAACAAGAGCAGTGCAAGAACCAGAGATATCTGTCAACGTGGACTATATGAATATGCATTTCTCCAAGAACATTCCTATTGCTTCAAGAGATACAAATATGAGCATTTGGCATATAGGTAAAATACAGCAATTATTGTAGTTGGTATCCTGTATCAACTAAAAGCCTGCAAGTTTATCAAACTGTATTCCTCTCCATCATATCAGTCCAACAAAATCCATCATTTCCATCACAAGAGTAAATCAGCAGGTCACAAAAATGTGTTCCGTCCTACATGTTAAAAGCCTCTACACCAAAGCTGGGTAACTTTAGCTGCAGTCTCAGCAGGTGAAACACTATTTACTCCACAGCAGAACTTTGTCCCTAGTATATACATGAAAAAAATCTGTTAACACTAAATTTCCAGATTTATCATGCAAGAGAATGAACTGACTGAATGGCAAAGCCATGCAGAACAGCCTCCCACCTACCAGACTTTCTAGCAGCAGAATAAACAGAATTTTATTCCAAGGCCAGATAAAATGTGGCATGTCAGCCTGATGAGATGTGTAAGTTATGCAAGAGAACGTCAGCAGGTAGGCAGTGAAAGTTCGGAGCCATCTGATCTGATGTATGATAATACTCAACGGCACTTACAAATTTGGAACTTAGGTTGTTTTAAAAATAATTTCTCCCCCTTCTCCAAATCCCAGAGCAAAGTCTGAAATAGCTGCTGTGTTTTCCCTTTTCATTCTTTTTTGTCTGGCCAGACTAGTTGCTTGCTTCCCTGTTGTTTAGAAACACTTATATAATAAATTTTGTTCCTTTGCAGCAGTTGGCAGGAAGTGTCACTGCTGCCTGTCTTTACTTGCTGTAAACAACATCCAGATTCTGAATGGCACCATCCCTCTTACTCTGTACCAGGTCCTTGCAACCACTCCAGATGTACCCAATCCCCAGGAGGTGCTTACCTGACTTGCTCCTTGAAGTCATACCTTTGTCAGGACCTCCACATACATTCCTGCACAGCAGAGCCATCTGCTGCACCGTGCAGCTAGTGGGCCGCTTTCAGTACCTCAGTGACATGGCTAGCGGGAGGACAGGTTTGGCAGCTCCACAGAATAGTGCTACCTATCTAAATCTGCTGGTCTTGCTCAGATTCCTCTGCAGAGTTCCCTTAAAGGGTTCTAGGTTAAGGTCATGACCTAAACAGACTCACAGATTCATTAATCAAATCTGATGTCCTCCTGAGAAAATGGCTATGCCTGATTTACAGCTAAAGGAGTGGTACCAAAGGAAGAAGTAACATCCCGAACTGCCTAGAATGACAGAATAGGAAGCCAGAATTCCTGATTCTCAGCCCCATGTATCTCTTGACCTGCAAAACTATTCGTGTTGTAGATAGAATGTTTGTGGTGCTTAGCCTTCAAACAGCCCCTTCCAGAGAGCAAACCTGCATTCTGCATCTGGCAGGCACAAGAGACTGAGTGTCAGGTGCCAGATGTAAGGAGGCCCAATGGTTCTATTTTTGAGAGGAGGAAGATGGACAAATCCCATAAGTGAACCTGGCCTGATTTCAGAGATATGGAAGCAAGGCAAGGAAAAGAGATGGATCAACCTAAACAGAAAAGGCACTCCACTAATGAAGGAGGAGTGCATATGGTGAATCACAACTCATTTATTGGCAGCCACTTCACAGAAGGGCTTCTATGATTTCAGTTTCTTTATTTCCATGTCTTATTCCAGCAGCCACAGGGCAGGAATATCTCTGAATGACCAAACCCAACATACCTGCTCAGCTAACTCCAGGAATTATCAGTGTACTCAGGGAGAACCACCCCTTTTTCCCCATCTACCACTACCTGGCACTGCTCTCCTCTCAAAAAGGAGACCTCTGCAGCAGGGCTTCACTCCTCTGCTAATACTCAGAACTGGATGTACAGTTCACTACAGGGAAGCAGTGTGAGTAGTACAGACTAGATGTATTACTTGAACAACTCACTTCTGTCAACATTTCTCCATGTAAAAAAATAAGAGAATGATACCTACATCCCTTGTAACAGCATAGGGAGACAGAGGAAAAGGTAGTGTACTACAGTACTCCAAAGCATTTCCTGTGATTAATAAAAATTGTGTCCTATTTTGCACAGTTACAGCATCGTCTCAGTGAAGGGAAGTATCATGCAGTCTGTGTACCATACTGCTCCCACCCACCTCTGATAACCAAACCACCAAGCACAAGCCAGGAGATTTTACTGGAGCTCCCCTGTGCTCCCTTAGCTCAGTCACTCTCCAAGACTTAACAGAAATCTGTAAGTCTTCTACACTGACCAACTATCTTTCCAAGAACATATGTGAAAGGTCTCAAAATCATTTGGGTTTCTGATTCCATTACACAGAGCATGAAAGTAGTATAGGAATAAAACAGGTATCTTGATAACATCATTACATGGCTACAGGGTAAGCCAGGAACTCTCTTGGCTGGACTGATCATCTAGCACGCAGTTTCTGCATGAGGATTTCTGTGTCTAACAGCCAGGAGTGGGTGGCTCAGTGTACAGGGGCCAGTACAGCATGAGCTGGAAGCCCTAGTTCCTGTATCACAGCAGGAGAATCTGCGAATGAGGAAGGGAGAAGACAATACTGGGAACTTGAGAAGAAAGGGGTGTTTAAAGAGTATCTGCTTGTCAGCATCACCCTCTTTTATCCCTTTCTTCTTCCTGCGTGCTTGAACTATGAAACGGAAGCAAAACTAATCCAGATTATATTTTACAATGTCCTAACATACCTGAAATAAATATACACGCTCTGGGAACATCCTGAAATCAAACAGGGTAACCCCTGCTAACTTCTTCATAGCTGTCCTGTAACCTGCTTCAGGTAACAAGCATTCACTCAGGCTGTGGGTGGGTTTGTGCTCTGTGCTGCAACAGTTATACCACGATCTAAACCCAAGCAAACCAGTTTAAGGCCAGCTGTGACAGGCCTAGACAAGCAGAAAGCACACTTCTGGATTCCAGCAAGTGTTAGCATTCAAGTAACCGAGTCAGGTGGCTGATATTCCGCAAGTAGGTCCCAGTGGGTTTCTGGGTAGATATCTGACATTGCCACAGGGCACAATGAAAGAAAGACTTAACAGACAGTAAAGAAAATTGCCAAGGTTCTGTGGCTCTAAGGTAGCATCCTAAGAATGGTATAGGGGCACAAACACATCCATCAAGAACAGCAGATGGCCTTTGTTGATGGAGAAATGTTGGTTTTGATTGTTTTGGCCTTATTCCAGCTCCATCGACATCGGATATTGTCATGTACTTAACAGGAAAAGAGGTTTCCTCGACACCAAGAATATCTAACTAATGCCTTCAACATGCCTTGCAAAGAAACATAACTGGAACAAAAACACTTCACTGTGATTCACTTGAAATGAATACGTATAGTTCCTCATTTAAAAAAAAAAAAAAAAAAGTAATTGCATGGGGAGATGCAGTTATTTCTTTAGTTCTGAATTCTTCCTTATAACAGATTCATTTTCATTCCATCTACACTGTGTACCTGCCTGAGTCCTTCCTGCAGTGTCTCTCTGGTTGAACGAAGCACGGCTGATATGCATTTGATGCTTAACTTCATGGACACTATTCTGTTATAATTACAATGGATGCTCTCAAGCCACAATACACTGAACTCCGTGGTTTCAATTACTGCATTTTGACATAATCCTTTGAAAAACCTGGCTACTGATGCACACTAGCTTTTTGATTAACCAACAAATCAAAGTTCAGACTCCAACAGCAGGCAGAAGTGAAACTATTACCTTAATCCCTTCAATCCTGAAGCCCAGGTTGGCACTAGAACTGATAGTTTCCCTCCACTGCATGTATCGGGGTTTGGTGACAGCATGCTGGGCATTCTCTTCAGCTGTAGGAGCAAGAGGATCCACTTCAATCATCTTCTTGTACATGTCCTTACGCAGCTTTGGTTTCTCACGAGCCTTAGTCAACTCTTCCTCCAGGTATGTCCTGCAAAAACATCACATCCCAACAAAACTGTAAGGACTCCCCAAACGTTTCTTTTTACAACTTATAAACTGGCCTCAAGAAATGCCAACTAGGAAATAAGTGTTATCGTTACCCCTGTTTTGCATACAGGGAAACTAAAGAAAACAGACTAACGACTGCACAGGCATATTTAGTGAAACAGTTGCAGGAATCAGGAATTGTGTCATTCACTTCTTGTTCTAACTATATCTTTACTTACTGTTACGTGTTATTGTTACATCCTTCTTACAGAATGGGAGAACACTCAATTGGTACTGTGCCATGAAACAGAGCTGTATTTTCAGAGGACAGGAGAGATCACTTACAATTAAATCAAAAGCAAATAGGCCTGCTGAAGTCTTACTGTCTTCTCTCTCCTCAAAAAAAGCCTAATGTCAGTCATGTGTGATTTTTTTAGGCCTCAGAAAGCAATTAAGGTTTTACTTAATGCAGCAGACAGTGAAAGACAGAATCGCTCTTCATACAGTAAAAAGTAAAGATAAAGCAGATTATCTGAGCAATTCCAAACCAGAAGAGGTAACTAAGAATGAGAAGGCAGAGGGTGACAAACCTTCCATACTTTGCAGTTATTACTCAACCTGTTAATCTGGTAACCCTTAGAAAGGCATTATCTGTGTTCTCTACACTCCACTGAACTCCTAGAGCTTGTCTCTCTCCACAAAGCTCGCACTTTGTCAGGCGCCTGGTGTGTACCTTCTTCATCACAGTGTAGTAAACCAGGCTGGTGTTTAGGAGATGTGGTCCCTCATTACCAGAATGTCACCTACTTTGAATAAAATACATCCTGTTGCAAATTCTTTTCCTCTTTCTTCTGGGCATACCAGTACTATACATTTCTACTCCGATTTAGCTGACAATTCATTTAGGACTCTGCATCTATGTGAAAAGGCCTGTCTGCACTCCTATAAGCTGAGTAACTCATTTATGACAATGATTCTTGAGCATCTGAGCCGACACCCAAAAGATTACTATGACAGTTCATACCTCTCTGTACAGTCACTCCAGGCTTTCAACAGATTCCTTATCTATTTGTTATGCTTAGATAATATTTTTGAGGTTTTCCTCTTAATCACAGACAAAAGGAAAAGAAAGTGAGAACCCAGTGAGAACAAGGTGATAGCATCATGGAGATGTCAGAGCAAGGAAAGAGGCCAGAGTAGGGAAACAGACTGACACAGGTCACTCCTGAGCAGATGGTCAACTCTTTTTTTTTAAATGAAAAGATCAATACCAGTGAAGACTCATTCAAGCGTTAGAAATGGACTTTCACACTGCTATTCAGTCATATTCAGTCATTCACATTTGGAGACAGGAATTTTACTTTTTGTGGGGTTTTTTGAATCACTGCTTACACAAAGATTAAATGAACTGGCAGTGAACGAACCATGTAATTTTTTCCCCCCCCATGTATTATCAGGCCACTGCAGAGGAACTTTGTCTTAAATCACCCCTGAAAACATCTTGAGGTGGATAGTTTCTGAGGCTATAGATCAGTCAGTTTCCAGAATTCATGTATAATGAGGCAACAATGGGACACAGTCTCCTCAGATTATCCAAGGCAATTGCCAAATCAACAACAGGTTGTCTGGACTGAACCATAAGGCTCAGAAACATTACCAAGCTCCTCCAGACAGCATGACCATATCCCCTCTTTCCCCCACTTCCTTCAAATGCATTTGGATTAGAAAGTACTTTCTCTTTCATGTACCCCACCTGATCCCCATCTTGCAGTCCATGACACAAGGCCCTTCAAATTCAGTAAGCAGGTCATCCAGCTGAATGTAGCTCTCGCCATCTCTCTCCACCACACCATGGAAGCAAGGGACACAGGAGCGCAGCGGGTCTTTCATCAATCGCTCAAAACACTCCTTTTCATTCTCTGAGAAGCGTTTTAGAATCTTCCCACTATCAGCTGCCTTGAAACTCCCTAAAAAAGAAAATCAAATACATGCTGTCAAGACTGACCCGCAAAGAACACCTTCCCCCACCACTCCAGCTTCATCTACCTCAGCCCCATGATATCAGTTAAAGATTTCCCCTGAACAGAAAAGATAACATGGTTTTAATAAAAAAACAAAACACCCAGGACAAACACAGCCGTTGGCAGTGAAGGTCCTTTTGGATACATTCCCATGTCAGAATTTATAGCTTTAAGGAGTTCAGCTGCTCCAGGCCATTGTTTTTTTTTCCATGCTAAACTCTTTGTTAGGATATTGAACACTGCTATATTTATTAAAATGCTCAGGAAGAAGCTACCAGCCAGAATTCATTAATCCTCTGACAAGCTATTTTAAAGTTGCATAACGCTGCCAGCGTTGACTTTGTCCTTAACCCTCACAGTATACCTGCTGAGTGTGTACATACCGAGGCAGCACAGTGAATCAGTGATCGTTGAACAGCCACAAACAGGCCAGAAGCCAAGTGCTGCCCTTTCTACACGCACACACACACACTGCAACTGCGCATGCGTGTACCTCCAGGCACTGCCTCTTCTCTGGAGGCCTGCTAACATGCAGGTACAGCCTGCAGTACAATTGGTTTTTTACAGCCCTGTGTCCAAATGGCACCCAGTACAAATGACAATCTGCATAAGCCAAGATTGGCAGTAATTTGATTCCATCTGCAACGTGCAACGATGATGTTATCATCCAAGGAAAGCACATATTTCATTCAGAGGTACCCTTTAATCTACATGACATAAAACAGGTGCCAAAGTAGAAGCCTCATTAATCCTGGGGCTAATGATGAACAATTATCACAGCAGGACCATTCAGCTATTGCAAACTGGTTCTGCTCTGACAAATCCTAGAACTGGCACTGCCTCAGCACAAGGGCGAAGGTGGTGATGGCCCTGGTTTCAGTTTAGAAAGAACTTGCCAAATCAGAGGACAGCTGCAAAAAGGATGGGCTAAAGGCAACTACAGAAAACTATCTAATGCAAACTGGAGCAGTATCTCTCCCAATCAGCTTCTAGCAAGCTCTTAACCCTCCTCTTCCACCCCATTACACACACCTCCAGAAGGGTAACGATTACATGGCCAGTGCATCACTCCACACAGATCAAGCCAACCCCATACACATTGTGGTAAAAACTGCAGTAAGATTGGGTCATCTTGACACTCTCCATGATACAAGTCAGCCCCACCAACACTGCTGTGCAAAATGCAGCTACTCCATTTTTAGGACTAAATAAATTTCTCTGTACAGCTTTGAAATGCATCATATTAGTGCATTAGCATATAAAGAGGTGGTTCAGGTACTGCACTAAAGCACGATGCAGCGTAGGTGCCTGCCCACATGGGTACTAATAAACCCCACGCTAGCACTTTAGGAACAAGGACTGCATAGGAATTAAATGAAGCACGAGAGAAGCAAACCGAATGACTTCTCTTTGCTGGTGGTGTTGGTTTTTTTTGTCTTACCAATGAAACAAAGCCTACATCAGGAGCACACTTACCAACTTCTACAGACACTCAGCGGACTGAGCTGCTCCTTACACTCATACAGTGAGCCATGACAGACTCGCAACACAAACACCTGCTCGGCAAGTCCATTTTCAACAGATCTGTTTTCCACCCAAGGGCTTACATTCAGATAAGGGGTCTAGAACTGGGATTAGAAATACTGTCCTCGCCAGGGCTGAGGCACATACAGGCACAGACAGTAATCCTTCCCACTGACATACTGGCTACTCAGTCAAGAGAGATGATCCCATACCACAACCAACAGCAACAGATGGACTAGGGCTTCAACTCCCCAGTCCCTCTTACTTCCCTCTAACACGTATTTTACGTGTCACCTTACAAGGACGCATTGGGAGCCCAGCCTTTCTCCAGAGTGTGACCATTGCTTCCTTGCTCATCTCTTTATTCAGGTACATCACTCCCCCTTCCCTATCTCCACCATAACTGAAAGAAAGATGTTCTAGTTCACAGATTCATGGGATATTGCCTGCTTCCTTTTTACCTAAAGGAAGGAAATAGAGAAACACTGAAACACTGTTTTCCTTGCTGCTGCCAATCCCCACTTCAAAGACAAACACATTGAAGATATCTGTCTCACCTGTATGCCCAGCCAGCTGCACCCATGAGTAGCGTTTCTTGAAGGGGCTGATGACTGGTAAGTTAACCATAGTTTTAATTGTATGCCATGCCTTTTTCTGGAATACAGAGAAAAGGAACATTAAGTTGAGTAAAAGCTGAAATCCTGACATGCCACAAACCTACCACACAGCTTCGGGTACACTGGGTTCCTCACTAATTTGTAAGTGCTCAAAGGCGGAAACACAGACACTATGATCATCACTGGAAAAATACGCACATAAAGCCAAGAATGGACAAACACTCAAATATAACACCATACCATCCACAAGAAATCCACCTGCAACAAATTAAAAAAAAAAAAGTCATACTGCATGTCACAGGGAGCCACACCTGACCATCTGTGTGTCTGAGTCACGCAGTATGCGGAAAGCAGATGCTGAACACACACTTAGGCACATTTAATTTTCCATGACATGAACGTAATCTGTTTGCCACTGTCAGTGATACTTCCTTCCCAGAGGCCTTCGGCATCACCTCATGATTAACGGCTTTCTCCAAGTCAGCAGGTGAGTCTTACTGTGACAGATGCACAGCAAATGCATCTCTAGTTGGACACAGAGGTCACCCAGGTCCCTCAGCATCCATTGATAGTGTGCTGTAGAGTCTACTCCAGGTCATGGATTTTCCTGCTCACTCCCCTCTTTCCCAATCGTGTTACTTTTTAACAGAACTGGGCGTTACTCTGGCCACCCTTGGCTGCAGCTCAGTGCAGCTGTCTGGATACTGCTGCATACAGGGAAACAGAACAGCTGCTCACAAACAGCAGCTGAGTGCTTCGTCACAAAGACACAAAGTGGGGGGAAAAAAAAGGTAGAAAGTGAAAAAGTCTCATGCTCTGGAAGTGAAACCCGAGTGGGAGAGAACCACAGCCCACCAGTGTTCACGTTACACTCTGAGGGATCCCAAAGTGCTTTACAAACAAAGGACAGCAGGCTCATTTCTTGTCACTAGAACATGATACCCTGATGGAGAAAAAAATGGAGATGTACAATACTTGTGCATGACAACTTAGTGCTGAAGGGTTTTGCTGAGATCAAGTATAGTTGGGGATTAGGCTGCATTTAGAGAAGTGGTTATGAATGGCCTAACTGGGATTCACCAAAATCAATGGGAGGCATTAATTTCACTGAAAATTAGTTTAGGTCATTGCTCAACACCAGAAAAATCCACCTTCAAAACAACCACATCTTCTCTAGGAGAGATGTTGATATGACGATTTCGGTGCTCAGGATACTTGATTTTTATTGTCTTCTACACTGTAGTTCTACAGAGGTGAAAAACACAAAAGCAAAATTGCAAGCAATGATACACAGGCAAAATGTAGCTCTCCAGATGACACTCTGACCTGGCCATCCTTCCCCAAACTTGTTCGCTTATACCACATTTCTTATAAGGTATCCATCCTCTAGCAATGTTGGTTACCACATGAGGGCAAGTTAAGTTATGCTGCAAATTAAAATGGCATAACAATGTAATCACCATATGAGCACACTTATTCTGAAATGAGTGCTTCTTCCTATTTAACTTACTTTGGTTTTGAATGCAGTTCAAGCTGAAATGAAGTCACTCTCAGTCTGAAATAAGCACCCCGTGCAGCAGCAACGCTTCTGAAAACATACTGTGTCAGTGAGAGGAAGCATCCGAAGAAAACCCTGGATGTTTGAGAATCATGAGGCCTCAGCTGCACTTACTGCAACTTCATAGATGTTACTAGTCACAGCTAAACTCCAGTTTCATAAATACCCTCTGCAGGTTTAAATGACCCTTTCATATTCTATATTATTTGGATTTTATATTCTATATTATTTGCTTTAAGTCATTCCAAACTGCAACCTTGGCTCTATCATGGAGCTAGCTGCTGCTTAGTGAGGATGAGAGAGACTCCTGTACACCACTTACGTATGTCCATAGACTTCTTCTGGGGGAAAGTGCAATTGTTATTGTTATTCAAGTAGCAAAGATAAATTACTTTTGTGTAGTCTATTTGCCAGATTTAAATGATAGCAGAATCCCTTCAGTCTACTCTGCTGTTTCTACTCCAGAGGGACACAGCCTTAAGTTATTTAAAGAACAGTTGAAAGTAAACACCATTCTGAATTAAAATAACCCCTTTAAATGTAACAGCTGTCAAATACTTCGTTTTTGAAGATTCCGGCCCACTTTTCAGGATAACACTGCTTTCTTCCCAGCCCTTAATCAGAAGTCAGCATTGCTCCATAACACTCTGATAAAGAACCTACACTCATTGTAATGTCCCACTCCTAACAAACTGCATCCTGTCTCCCAATGACTTGTCACTCTGCTACACCCAGAAGTGATGAGAAGCTCAGGTTTTCAAGGAATGCACATCAACTGTCAATGCAACACCACATTCCAGTGGCTTTCCCACCTCCTCCCTCCCACCTAGCCCTAAGAAGCTGCAGCTTTTATTTGTACTGTGGGTGTGAAGGCAATAGACCAAATTCAGCCCCAGCTCAAGTGCACTTTGGCTGCTTAGCTTACAGCTGCCTTGGATTAATATTTTAAGCCACTCATCCAATAGGCAGAAACTGACAATTTTTTAAAATTTTAAATCCTCTTTTCACAAACCTTTTCCCCCTCAAGACAGGGAAAGCATGAGGCTCAAATCAGGCAGGAAAGGATTGCTTCCAGACCCATCCCATGGGGCATGCTGCCTTTGGCAGGGGTTCAGCAGTTGCACTTTCCTGTACTGCAATTTCCAGCCTCCCAACTCACTCAATCTAGGATGCAATTGCCAGGATGCAAACAGGGCTGCATGCTTTTGGAGCAGTGGTGTGAGTGGGAAGATGAAAACTTTGTGTGCCTGCTGTGGGAGGAATCTTTCTCACTTCTGTTTCTAAAGCAAGATCTCTTCCTCTTTGTTAGCAATGGTATTATGTGCTTTTCAAATCACTGCTTTATGCTGCAATGGCAAAGAGGACTGCTACTGCTGCCCATCTGTATTTGCAGTCCACATCTCCCTCAGTGCCTGTTTCTTCTAGATTCCTGCTCAGTCTTCCTTATCTTTTACTCTGCCTGGGTTTCTCCAAGCCCTCATTTCTTCTAGATTCCCAGACAGTATATGCTATTCACATATATTCAGGGAAAACTCAAGATATCTCTGTATCAGGATTGCCTGAATCAGATGCCCTTGACCTTGCTGATGCTGTTTTAAACACCTCTTGCGATCAATATACTCAAGAGTTTTCCAATAGGAAAAAGGAAACCATTCTTTGAAGGGCCAAGAGGCAAACATGAGAAATATTAACATTCTTAGATTCACCATACAAGTTGCTCAATGTGAACTGTTACTGACACGCTATATGTATCTCCCTAAGCAATAAATGGTGTGGGATACTAAAGATGGGAAAAGCTACTTTCCTGCTAAGGGGTCAGTCTGTGTGACAGGCTGTGCCACTGGAACTGTGTCCCTGGTAGAGCAAATGAACAAAAATTCAGGGGGAGAGAATGGGAGAACCAATTCTTGCAATGCAGCCACAATGCATGCAAAGGATCATGACTTGGTATCTGACATTGATCCGTGTTGTCTGGGTTACTCCTTTGAATCACTCTTCTGAGTTAGAAGCACAGCACCGTAGAGAAGCGCACATCCATACAGCAGATGTGGCAGCTTGCTCTCTGTTAGCACTGGCATATGCAGACAAGATGCTGGGCAGATGAGAGATTCCCAGCCCATTCAAACCCATATACAGGTAGCTGTTGCCATCATGCCTCTCCGTTATGAAACAGCAGAAATGAGCAGCAACTGAGAGCCCCTGGTTCCTGTGCGCACAGCTTCCTCCAGGCCTTTTCTCATTATGAGAGCACAACTTCACAGGTTACTAGCATGCAGCAGCACAGCCATGACAATCCTGCTCAAATATACCAGTAGGACTTGGCTGAGGAAAACCCACTAAACTCACTTGGAGGTGTTTCATCTATTTTAAGGGGTTTTGGTTCAGGCCTCGCTACCTCCAAGATTTAATCCACAGGAACTAACCAGCTCTCCTGAAACCCTCTCACCATTTCAGGACAAGGGCTATAACATCCTAATAGCCAAGTTCACCGAACAGATTAGTGCAGACTCTCTGAATTGGGTAAGGACTTTTTGGTTGCTGTTGTTGTTTTAAAGGCAGTATAGAACAACGGAATTCTCTCTCTGAGCATAGACAGATGAGCTGCTCTGACTTCTAAGGGCAATGGCAGATAGAGACCTGAACCTTCCTCTGCTGTTCTGTGGAAAAATAAATAAAATCCCTCATTTAAAGGTAAAATTAAAACAAAAATAATCTCAGTTTTGTGAACACCTTAAACACATGTAACTACCCTCAGACAAGCACTGACAAACAGGCAACATACAAAGGAATTTGCAGAATTGAGTCCTAAGTAAAGCAATTACAATAATTAAAAACACAAATCACATCTAAACTAGTAAGTATCAGGGAAGAGGTAGGAATAAAAAAAACCTTTTCCACGGGAAAAAAAAAGCTATCAGTTTTAATAACCCTAGCATGTTACTTGAAACTATAGTGAGTTAAAGAACAAAAGTACATTGAAATGTAACACAAATCATCAGGGTCCCTAAAAAAGTTCATTTTTCCACCAGTAGCAAAGAGGAGGAGTTGTTTCTTGCCTGAGCTGGTAAATTTTCACTGAAATTCTGATAGACTATAGTAAACAATGACCCTTGAATCCTTTATCCAGGAAAATTTCAGCAGTTCCTTTGTCCAAGATCCTGTTGTCTTTTTTGTGCACTAGTACAAAGCCTACGCAAGCCTACAGAGAGCTATTATGACAGCAAGAAACAAAAGGATAGTGAGAAATCTTTTTTTCCCCCCTAAAAGGCTTTAAGAAAGAGTACTTAATTGTCAGTCATCATAATCTACTGTTCTCTTAAAGTCTTTACATCATTTAGGCTAAATTCTGCCACTCTGGGACATGGGGGCTGAAATGCAATCTGTATTGCTGGTTGCCACTGCCTACTCAGTATCTCACTAACTCCTAGAAGGAACAAGGTTCCTCCACAGGGACTTTCAAAGAGTACAGAAAACTATAA